GGGGGGGGGGAGCGCGCGGCGTGATAGCGGCTCGCGTCAGCTCCTCCGGGGCGCCCGCCCGCGGGCCGCCTGGCGCGTAGGCAGGCCCGGCCGACAGCGCCGTTCGACGGGTCGGCCTACGTGCCAGGCGCCTTGCTCCGCCCGGCAATGGACAATGGGTATACAAGGGCATGCTGACGCGCACACACACACACATACACGCACACACACACACGCGCGCACACACACGCACACTTACACGCACAGCGTAGCATCCCCAAGAGATTTATTACAGTCGCGAGGAGTGCCCTGTGCGCGCTCTGACTGAAGCCCGCCGCGTGCGTCGACACTTTGGCCAAGCAGGCCCCCGCGCCGCTACAATGGCAGGGTCACAATAGTCCCGTCCGCTGTACGGCTGTACGGCCCTGCTGACGGGTGGTCTCTCGCCCCCCCTTGCCTCCCTCCCTCCCTCCCTCCCTCCCTCTCCTCGCGCTCCCTGTTTTTCCCGCTTCTCTCCCTTCCCCCCTTCTCCTGCTCTCGCTCTCTCAGATTGGAATCGGCTCATTCGCTTTAGATTTTTTTTCTGTCGCCATTTTCTCCTCGTACGTTTTGCCCATTGCGTCGTCCTCGCTTCGGAAAGCAACAATACCCCTCGCCCCGCAAAAAAATAACAGAAAAAACTGGAGAAATGGAGGAGGTAAATAACTGTAACGATCGTAGTGTCATGTGGTCCATGCGGTCAAGAGGTTATGACGATGTTCGGAAGCGCCCTTTGGCTCTTGAGCGGTTGTCACTGTCCCTTTTACAGGGGAAGTTTTATAAAAACGACAAACAGGAGGTGAGTTCTCGTTACTTAGCGAGTGCCGAGGGGAAAGTTCTTAATTAGCCGCAATTTTTTTTTCGGGGCAGGGAGGGATCTTCATTTGGCCTAAGGGCTAAGGGCTCTAAAAGGGGGAGGTGAGGAGGTGAAGAGGCGCAACGCGCGGTGGGGGGCGACCCGAGGCGGAGGCATTCTTTCCACCGCGATTAAAATCTCTCTGGTCGGGCGTATTTGCGAGAAGGAAACAGTTGCGAACGGTCGCGAGATATCTTTATGGCGGTATTTGAGCCAGGTGACCCGCCAGTCAGCGGAAAGTTTATAATTAAAAATATTCTGCCTCTTTCATCTCTAAAAGCGAGTTACATTGCGCTTTTTCCACTATACATTTTTTCTGCAGCAGACACGTACTGCGGAAATTTTCTGTGATAATTTGGCAAGCGTTAACAAACAAATTTGATTGGACAGCTTTGAAACCCGGACGTTCTCGGGACGTCAAGTGTGACACCTACGAGGGGCGACGAGGCTCGCGGAAGAACCCAGCATGGAATTGCGCCTTTCAGACGACACTTTCTCTTTTCATGTTAATGTTTACGACCCTCACCTGCTCGCGCAGCTCGCTCCCGTGTACCTGCTTCACCTTTGGCAGCACCTAGTCTGTGCGCAATTTCCTTCGCCCCATTAATCTTGGCCTCGAAGTTTACAAGGCGCATCAGGCTCACATCATACATCAGCCAGCGGGGCGTGAGGTAAACGGCTTCTTCTACTTCTGCGAGAGCAGGCAGTGCAATTAATACTGCTGTGTTGTCGTGTCGTCAGCACCCCTTCATACCCCCCTCAACCCAACCTGCCACTTCCCCGCCAACTACCAGCGTCGAGCTTCAATTCAGCCACCAGTCCGAATGACACTGCGGTTGAAATGGCAATTACCCCAAAGAAAAATATTCCGCAGCCCTCGGAATAGGGTTTTAATTGCGAAAAATAATTGTCTCAAAATCTGGTGCTGGATAGGAGGAAAAATGGATTCTTTTACAGCATTGCTTCGTCATTATGTCGCTGCGTTATTATTCCTGGAACACACGCGTGCTGCTGTAATTTTGGCAGTCATTTTGAAGCGCCTTTGCCCCCCGGGGGAAAAATAAAAGAGGGCCGGCGCGCTGCGTCACATGGCTCACGCTAGTGTAAGTCTGCGCGAGCGGCAGCCTCTTTACGAGACTTTCATATTTTTGCTTTGGAGCTCTCTTTTTGCCCCCCCCCCCCCTCCTCTCCTCTCTCTCACTTTCCCTCGAGCGCTGTCCCCGCACAGCCCCCTCTCTCTCTCTCCCTCCCCGTCTCTCTCCCTCTACTTGTTTGGACATATTCTCTCACCCTTGTCACTCGGCCTGGCAGGCTGCTGCGCGAGGAGATATGTCTTTGTCCGCGCCGACCAAAGGCGGGGCTTTTCTTTTGGACTTGTCAGACCGGACCACTCCGTCGTCTTAGACCCCTCCCCCCTCCTCCCCCTACCTCTCCATCCAGACCCGCCCCCGCCATCTGGGACCAGCCCGGCTAGCTTATTGTTTTGCACCTGGGGGGATAAAGGAAGGGGATAGGCGTAATCCTTTGAATGGGCCGCTCCTCTTCGATTCCAAGTTTATTTTTTTATGTCATTACGACCTTCACAGCAAAAGCCAGACACAAACCTCAAACCTGCTATGCAAAAAGAAAGAGAGAAAGATGAAAAATTCCCAATGTCCTTCTGACTCGTTGAAATAATTATTCCTTCGAAGGGATAATTGCGTGTTTGCCAACTGTCGAAAAAAAATCTGGAGGAGGTTTATTGCCTAAGGGCAGATTGCAGGGCGTGGTAGGGCGGGGAGGGCCCTCGGGTGCTCCGCGGTGCTCGCTTACACCATTCATACACGACACATTTCATGTCGCCCATCCATCTCTGGCTCCCGCTAACGACGCCGTTACGGCCCGCAGGTCCTCGGGGGATGGCGGTGCCTCGGTGGGGGCGGCGTCCCCTGCTGGCCTCCTCGTCGCGGTCCTGGTCGCTGCCGCTGCTGCTGCCGCCCCCGTCCGGGCCGTCGTCGGCACGCCCTCGGGCACGCCCGGCGGCACTCCGGAGGGGGTGACTATGCGCGCCAGGATGCGGTAGCCCGGCCGCCGGGGGGCAGCTGGAGGACGACCACGACGACGAAGCAGCGCGGCCGCGCGCCCTCCGCACCGCACCGCCGCCCGCCCGCCGGCAGCAGGTGACAGGTCAGCATCGCAAGGCACTTCATCTTTTGTCACTTACGTTTCTCCTTTCTTTTACTTTTCACTAATTAATATTTTCTTCCCAACAAATTTTTGCTGTCCTCCAGGTGACCGGCAGTCGAGCGGGGTCACTTCGTATGGAGGCCTCGGCCGACTCGCTCTCCAGCACGCTGCTGCTCATCGAGCCCGTCTCGTCCAACGCCTCCCTGCTCGACCTGGACAACGCGTCCCACATCGGCGGCCCCAGCCTTGGCTACGGCTACGCCCAGGGCTTCGCGCCGCTCCCCGGCTCGTCCCCAGCGCCCGTCGACCCCCCATGGGGCACATGGTTCCCCGGGCCGGACTCGCCGTACTCTGCGGGGCAGGCGGTGGTGATCGCGCTCGTGCTCCTGTGCGTCGTGGTCGTCACCTTCGTCGGCAACATCCTGGTGTGCGTGGCCGTCTGCCTGGTGCGCAAGCTGCGCCGGCCCTGCAACTACCTGCTCGTCTCGCTCGCCGTCTCCGACATCTGCGTCGCCGTCCTGGTCATGCCCATGGCGCTGCTGTACGAGGTGTTCGGACGCTGGGACTTCGGGCGCGTCATGTGCGACCTGTGGGTGTCGTTCGACGTGCTCTCCTGCACCGCCTCCATCCTCAACCTGTGCATGATCAGCGTCGACCGGTGAGTCCAGCGTCCCCCCTGGCCTTACCCTTCTCTCTGCCGTCGCGCGTCCGGCGCCGAACTAATTTCCCAAGAGGAAAAGGGGCACCGATATACGAGGAAAACATGAAATTGATTGGCTGGCGCGCCACCCCCCTCTTGGCGCGGCCCCGCATGAGTTCCCGCCGGGCTACAAACACCACGTATCGTAACCTTGTGAGCGACTGGCCCGCCCACCTGGGCGATGGATTTAATTATTTCTCTCCGTAAAAGGTGTATAGTTTCGTCGTGACGACAATTTCCTACCGTGGCGAATAAGTTGAACGTTACCGCCCCACCACTATGAATAACTATAGTTAATAATAATGCACGTAGAAAAGTCACTCGCTTCAGGGAGCTCATGACGTTTTTTTCTGTGGGTGGGAAACACGCTGCCCTTGGCCTTGGCCACTGCCGCTGCTGCTGCTGCCGGTCAATTGACTGAGCGGGCTGCTGACGCCGCCTACGACGCGTCCGGCAGGGCGGCGCGCCGCACAGCGGTCAGGCCGCCGCGGCTGGTTTATTTACACGCCCTGCTTTGATGCGCGTTGGTGAAACAGGGGAAACCCCCCCCGGGCCTCGGGGGCCGTACCGCCCCCCCCCCCCAACCTTTCCTCTTTCGTCCCCCATCCGGCCTCTTCTGCGCCTGTCCATCCTAGCAGCAGCACGGTGGCGCCGCTAGCCACCGAAAATAGTCATCCCGGACTTGATATATATACATATACATATATATATATCGAGTCCAGGACGACTATATATACGTATAGGGGGTATAGCGCTTCCTGGGAGCTGCTGGTGTCGCGCGGTCGCCGCTTTCTCCTCCTTTTCCTTCGCGGTGTCAGTGTGGTTTGAGGACCGGCTCGGAAGTAGATCCGCGGGCTCCGTCGTCGCCTGGTGGTGGCAGAGCGGCGCGCTGAGCGAGCTATATGCACTCTGCTACATTGTCAGGTGAATACCTTAAATCCCGGTAGTTTGCGAGCGCGCGCGCGCGGTTGCAGGCGCGAGGCGCGGGCTTCGCCGCCTTTATGTTTCTGTTAAGCGCCTGCTGCTGCTCGCCGAGTGGAGCCGCGGGTGAAGCGGCTGCAGCCTACCTTCCCGCACCACGCTCACCCGCGCGCTCGCCGCTCGCGCTGCTCCGCCAGCCCAACTTCGCTGATTGGAGCGTTGTTAAAATTCAAGGATCGCCGTTCAGGCTCAAGTAACACTCTGCTCTACCTGGAGCTCTTATCGCGCTCTGTTCCGCCACGCCACGCCCCGCCACGCTCCGCCACGCTCCGCCACGCTCCGCCATGCTGCGCCTCGAATCGATAAAAGCGAAAGCCATAACGTGGACCGAGGTGTCCTGCGATATTAATGGATAACCCTCAGAAGCACCCCACGGGCCCGGCCAGCCGGCAGGGTCCTGGGAGAGACAACGGGGGGAGCCTCGCTAACCCTCCGCCGGCTATTCCCCCACCCCCCTCCCTCTTGTCCTCCCCCTCCCCCCTCCCTCTGTGTCTGCTCGCCTCGCTGCCTTGCTCTGCAGCCGCCTTTTGAACCTCTACGGCCACCTCTTGCAAAAGGGAATATTATGCTTCTTCATTATCATGGCCATGTTTGGGCTGGCACGATAATGGTTCAAATTACCTCAAAAGAAACACCGCCGCCGAGCGTCTTGAGTGAAATCCGGCCGCCCCCAGCGGATGGTAGTAGCGGCCGGGCAGGGCGGTCCGACCCTCCTTCCGTCCGCCTGAAAATCTTTTCATATCCCGTAATTTTTGCCTCATTACCGCTATACCACTACTCTAAACTACTGTGGGGCCCGCAGACCCCGCTGCTATGGCTGCACCTGGCCGCAAATTTTCATCCCCCTTTCTCCTTTGCATGATAGCAAACTGCTTCGAAACTGCTGATTAGCCTATAGGCTGTCGATGTTGTTTCCCCCTACAGTAATTTGCAATGTAAGAGTGCTGCAAACACCATGTCGAAATGTCTATGAATAATAATTCATGACCACAAAGCATTCTGCTTGAATTGATTTTCTCTTGGCGCTGCCGGGGTGGTACTATTTTTTTTTAAGTTCCGTGCGCAGCTTTTGTCGCGTACCTCGTTTGTATACTTACTTACCAAATTAAAAGTTTGCAATGCGGAACGGAGAGGCAGCGGGCAGTATGGCCGACTTGTTTATTTTCCCAGTCGTGCAGTGGAGTGAAAAGACTCGCCTGGCGGCTCACTGTCCGTCTGTCTCTTCTGCCACATTTTAGCGAAAAGGTCATGAAAGCGCAAATTTTGGAGCAGCTGAGCAGGAGGGGGAGGGGGATTGCTCTGTGCATACATACACGACCCGTGGGGCGCTCGGCCGAGGGTGGCGGGGGCAACGCAAGACCCAAGGCTCGGCCCGGACCTTCCCCTCATCAATTATTACCTGATGGAGTGTGGACGGGTGGGGG